GCTTTTCCCTCTTGCCATTTCTTGTGCTTTCCAGGAGAACACTAGTAGGAAGCTGGAGGTTGGCTTGCAAAACCTCAGCGGTCCAGAGCGGGCCTTCAGCACCCCACGCTGTCCTGGCTGCCAGGCAATAGAGACTCCTTCTAGCCTGGTATACCTAGTGAGTAGGCATTCCCAGCACAGCGCTATCATCAGCAGCAAGTTAGCTTGCCTTGGTAACCTTGTAAATGCTGAATTTTCCATGTATGCTGATCCCTCCCAGGGCAGAACACGCATTTGGGGCGGAGGAAGAGCTCATCCTGCTGCACAGTCCCTTGTCAGTGCTGGTATGCCACCCCTCTCGCCAGCTCTAAAACCTCAGGACTGATTGAATGTTAAACTCTCATTTGGCTGTGGTAAGGGAGCAGCCCAGCTCATTCCTGGGGCAAGATGGTGGTAGGGATAGAAGTGTCCAGCCACAGAAGGGAAGGCATATGTGAAGCTGTGGGTCTCCATGGCCTTTGACCCACAATGGCAGCTGCCCTGGGGGTTGAATCATTCTGTCTGTGTAATGCTGTGTCAGCACCACACCCTGAACTACGTCCTCTGCTGGGCACTGCCAGCAGCCTTGAGGGGAGCATTTCTCCTGGGCACAGGGTGTCTGCCTGGCCCGGGGAAGGTCTGTCCTTGGACGCTGAGGTCATGGGTGGGAAGTGCATTCCAGAGTCCAGGGCTGAATTTCCACAGAGCCCTGGAGTGCAAGGCTGTCAGCACTAGGGGCCAGACATCCCTCACTGTAATGCCAGGGTGAAGGAGACAGACTGGGATCCCTAGGTTCCTTCTCCCCTGCCCTGTGCCCTTGTCACAACACTCAGCTGGAGGAGGAACTAGGATTGGCAGCACAGGGGAACAGACCCAGGCAGAGGGCTGGTAAGTGAAAGGAGCTCATGATCTCAGGTTATGACAGGGATGTCCGACATCTTCCAGTGTGTGAAGAGTCCCATGTGAGTCTATCAGTATCCTATGGGTGGAGGGGGAAGGAACGGCAACTTTTTGAGCCCCAGGCCATGGGTATCTACTCGATAGTCTATTCCAAAGGGACTTTAGAGAACACATCCCCATTCCAGCCAGCTGCTGCACTGTTGCCCTGCTTTGCTGCAACGCCAGAGTAAAGCAGGAGTATTTGTCTGCACCGCTCTCATTGCAAGTGTTGGTGCCTGTGCATCCCCTTTCTGTCTCTGTCCCCTGCTATTTCATTCATCTCAGCCCTCTGTGAGAGCTCACCTTACTCCCACAGGGCTTCCCCACCATGCAGATGGAGATTGAAGGTCTCTGTGGCTTTCCAGTGCTTGCATTAGCACCTGCTGCTCTGACTCCTTGATGATGGGGTTGGGCTGGAAGATATTGGAGTGGTGGTCAGCTCAGTGAAACTCCCTGAGCTGGGATTTGGCTACAGATGAAAGGTTCTGTGCTTCCATTCCCAGAAAGAAAAGGATGGAGCCAGTTTGGGAGCCTGGTGGGCTGTAGAGAGCATTGGGTTCTGTTCACCTTTCCCCACAGCCGTGTCCCTGAGTGTGGGCATACAGGGATGGTGCAGGATTTCTCTGTTTCTCACTGTTTCATCCTCCTTCCTGTCTCACTCACCCTCTTTCTTTAGATGGAGAACCAACTTCAGGGCGGCCCAGTGCAGCTTTCTGCTTTGGATTCAGAAAAGTGGTTCATGTCTGGTTTCGAGGCCTCCTCCCCTGCCTCTCCTCACTCTTCCCCTCCTCCTCTTCCTGCTAAAGCTCACTGTTCTCGAAAGCTGTTCCAGGTAATTACCCCACCCGCTTCCCATCACCAGGCCCTGCAGAGGTGAGAAGTTATGGCCTTTGGGTCCTACAGGTTATAGGGTTGGGATCCCAGAGGTACCCAGGGAGAGGGCTGTTGGCAGCAAGGCCAAGCTGATGCAGAACAGGCCAGACGCTGTTAGGTTAGTGACACTAGTCACCCAGTGAGGGAGTTTTTAGATTAGGATGCTCCAAGTCCCTTCCCAAAGCAGGCTGGGATGAAAGGAGGACATAGGCAGTGTGATCCAAATTTCCAACTAATGTCAATTGACTCAGTTCCTGTGAATCAATAGAGTCAATTTGCACTCTCAGTGGATTTGACACGTAAATTGGTTGTTGCTTTGATTTATCACTGCCTAGCTGGGTCTGTTACTCTCATAGGGTATGCCTAGACTACGTGGCTCCGTCGACAGAGCCATGTAAACTAGTTTATCCGACATAGTCAATGAAGTGGGGATTTAAATAATCCCTGCTTCATTAAAATAAAAATGGCTGCTACGCTGTGCTGACAATCAGCTGATCCGGCATAGCACGGCAGTCTAGACGCGGATCGGTTGACAAGGGAAGCCTTTGTCGACTGCTCCCTTATGCCTCGTGAAACGAGTTTACAGGAGCGGTTGACAAAGGCTTCCCTTGACCGATCCGCATTTAGGCTTCCGCGCTGTGCCGGATCAGCTAATTGTTGGCACAGCACAGTGGCCATTTTTATTTTAACGAAGCAGGGATTATTTAAATCCCCACTTCATTGACTATGTCGGATAAACTAGTTTACATGGCTCCGTTGATGGAGCCATGTAGTCTAGACACACCCATAATGTTGCAGTTGAGGATTTTGGGGGCATGGAAGGGAAATACTAACTCAGGGAAATATTTGTTGTTATTTATGCCAGCACACTGTGCTTAAGACACATTAAAGAGCCAACCCTTGTCATGTCTTGTGTAACTTACAGCACAGAAAACTGAATCAAAGTAATGAAATGACTGTAGTTCACTTTTACCCACTCCACTGTAAGTCTGTGATCCCAGTGCCAACTGAAAATGAATTAAATGGAGTATTGATCAGTGTAAGACCTGTTGCAATAGCTGCTCAGGCAGAATTTCACTCAGGTAACTGATAGTTCAGGTTACAACCCAGTTAGTTAATTGAATACATTGTTGAGCAACATTAACGAGTGTGGAAAAGAGAGAAGTACCTGTAGTAAAAGGCCCTCTCAGTGTACCGCAAGTCCCAGGACTTAACCCCAGGAAGAGAGAGCTGACTCTCATGTCCAAGTCCGCTGCATGCGGCAACAAGCTGCTTCAGTGCTTGAGACTCTGCAAAGGAACCAAGGGAGCAACACTGAGCCTTTGCTTGGCACCTGTTCATGTGCCATTCCATCTTTGTGGAGGTTGTGTTGGGGTTGGTAGAGAAATGACTGAACATGGCCTTATGAGCTCTGTGCTCACTCTCCCTAAGTTCAGCTCACAGGAGCTCAGCTGTTGAATACAAAAGTTGTTTTTTCTCCAGGTTGCGACACCCATGTCCTTACCAGGGATAAAGGCTCTGCTATTGGAACAGAGGGTGAGGCAGCCTAGAGCCTAGTTTGCTCTCACTTAGCTATGTCAGCCCTTGGAAGCAAGTGTGAGTCAGACACTGCACCTTGAATGAGACCCAGTCTCACCGTAGCAGGGTCTCCTCTCACTAACTGTGGGAGTTGGTTCTCAGAAGTGCAGGTGTATGCTTAGAGAGGGCATGTTTTTAGGGCCAGGGCATTTTGTACCCTGTGTAGAAGCTGGCCAGCACAGGGCACATTCAAACAAGATGGAGCAAAGCCCTGGGGAATATCCTGTAGAGAGGGAACTGTGGCTGAAGGAGGGACATAACAGAGATTAGCATTAATTCTGCTGCTGTCAGCAAGCTGGGCTCCCAGGCAGCTGCTGTCTGCTTAGGAGTCAGAGTGGTTTAAATGCTGTGAATCTCTGTCCCAAGTACTGATGGCTCTGGTAACAATCAGCCCTTCCCAAACATTAGCCAGTCCATAGGGATCTGTGCTGTAGCCTCCATCTACCCTTAGTCATATCTGTGCTTGTGTCCAGGTCTTTCGTGCGAAGCTGGACAGCGACGCCGGCAGCACCCTCCCACATACAAAGAGTGGGTCTGCATCATCCTCACAGCTCAGTGTGGCCACGCTGGGACGCAGCTCCTCCCCAAAGGTATGGGCTGAGGGGACCAGGGGCTGCTGTACCAACATTGTCACTCCCCCAGCGAGGGGCTTTTTCAGTCCACAGTCCATTGCCCTTGAGGGATCTGGGTGCTGAGGCTCTTGGGCTGAAGGAAGATAGTTGGGAGACGCCTGGAACCCCGGCTTGATGCCCTTTCACAGCAGCACAAAAGATGGATCTGTTAATACCTCTATCAGCCAGACTGTTTATCACTTTACTGCAGCTTGAGCTCATGAACCAGGGACTGGGAATCCCATGGGGGCACATCCCACAGGGGCTTCCTCATCCTTGCCTTTCCACATCCCTAGGGCCCTGTGCACCCACAGAATGGCACAGGCAGCCTTCCACGGAACTTGGCAGCCACACTGCAGGACATTGAGACCAAACGCCAGCTGGCCCTGCAGCAGAAAGGTAAGTGCCTGCTTCAAGGGCATCCCCAAAAGGGGTGGGATTCAGCCTGCCCAGGGAATAAGAAAGGAGATGCTCCTACCAGGATGCTCCAAACAATGCTGGGTGTTTTCTGTGGCCGCTGGGGTTGCTCTGCCCTTCATGGGATGGTACCACCATTGCTTGTGCTCTATGTCCCTGTTCAGAGTGTTACTTGCTGGCTGTGCTTCATTAGACACCTTGCCTGGGGAACTCCTAATGCCTTTCTCATGAGGTAGAAGGACAAACTTCCCGAGCTCACTGCAAACAGACTCTCTGTGCTCTGTGATCCAGTCTGGCTGTTCGTCACAAACCCAGGAGGCTTTGGTGGCATGCACCATTGAAGTGGGAGAGAGAGGGTTGGTTTAAAGAAAAAGTTGTCTGTTTGTGAGAATAGTTCTTGGTCTCTTGATCCCTGGACAGGAGTTGCCAGAAAATCAGCAAGGCCTAGCACAGGTTGGGGGAGGCCTCTGTAACTTGGGGGCATAGATGAGCCTCTGGCTTTTCTTCATGTATGGCCCCTGCCTCCCAGGTGCTGGGGGATCAGTAACTGTTTGCGTCAGGAGAGAGGGATGAGAACACCTGGGGGCCACAATTGAAACAAAACAACCATCTTGGTTGCTGTAAACCCCTCTCTCCCCAAAGGTTATATCATGCTGCTGCCTTTGCCCCTAGCTTTGAAGTGTAGAGCAGTAGCTGGGACTGTCTTCAGAAAGGCAAAGGACTGAATTGACCCCACTGGAATCTGAACCTGTTTCCCAGGAGTCAGTGTGTCTTCGCTGATGCTTGGCCCGAGGCCATCCCGTGCAGCCTTAAACATGCCCAGCAGCAGTGATCTCAGCTAATGAGAGACAAAATGAAGGTGTAAAGATCCACATCAGGCCTTTTGGCACTTTTGTGACTTTAATGACTGGTCAAATCAGCTGAAGTAGACGACAGGGATCACAGGGAGAGGTCAGGACTCTGTATGTGGGGAAGGAGATTCCTTACTAAGTTGTCATGTGCTGCTTTGGTCTGTCTGGCCTGAGCATTCAGCTCAGCTGGCAATTCCCAGGCTCTGTCCATGATGGACCCTGAGCTTGTTCTGCTCATGCTCCAGTGAGGCTGTTGCTAGCAGTTGCTGTGACTCGTGCACAAGGCTGTCTTGACAGAGAGCCTAGGTAGGCCTATAGCACAGCTTATCTGCCTTTTAAAATAGCCATGCTGGAGGAAGAAGGTAGATGAGACCAAAACCTCAGCTAACCCTTCGCAAGGGCATCCTTCCCAGCAGCAGCTGTGGGGAGCAGGAGATGCCCAGGGCCCCGGGGCCGGCCCGAGCCATTTGTGCACCCCAGGCCCCGGGAGCGTGGCATCAGCCCCGGGAGTGCAGCGCATGCGTGGCCCCCGTCTCCAGGCGCCCGGCGCATGCGCAGCAATCCCACACAGCACCCCCTACAATGGGGCGCCCCGGGCGGCAGCCCAGTCAGCCCGTAGCTTGGGCCGGCTCTGCAGGGCCCATTGTGCAGGATTAGAAGCTAGGAGCCTGTCAGGTTTGATTTGGAAATTATTATTGGAGCTCTCAGTCTCTTGCTTTTTCCCTCTCTCCCCAAGCCCCCAGCACTATACGAAGTAGCCTCTCCAGCTGTTACACTCTCAGGGGAGCCCTGGCAGCCAGGCGCTGTGTCAGGTAAAGATTTGGAAAGGCTAGAACTTCTAGATCAGCCCCTGAGGCAGCAGCATGGCTGCATGGTTCAAGAAAACACCTGATGCCATCTGCCAAGGATGGGGAGGAGGGTCTCAGACCTAACCCCAAGGTATGAGTGCATCTGTGAGTCCATCTGCTTGCAATGCCAGATAGACTGGCAAGATGCTTCCAAGGCATCTCCCACCAGGAGCATATGCATTGTCCCCGGCTATGTCCCAAAGAGGATATCTCCAGTCTGCCCTTTTGGGAGCCAGTGTGTTCACGCCTAATATTAGGGGCTGTTGCTGACTGAGGCAGATGGCTTGTTCCTGACTAGCCCAGGTTTCTCCCTGCATCAGAGGTCACTGACTGGATGGAAGCTCTGAGCATTGTTCTCCCCCATATCCACTCAGAGGCCGTGTTAGCCAGCATCTTTATTTTGGTCAAATGAGCACTGCAGGACCCCATCTGCCTCCTTTTCTTCAATAGTAGCATCTCCAGTGACAGCAACTCAATTTGCTCCTTTTAGTGCCTGTGCCTGCCATGAAAAATGCCAAAAGCTGTAGCTCCTTCAGGAAGCTGCTGCCTGGCCCTTCTGCCTCCCTGCATTCAGAGGCCGTGTTAGCCAGCATCTTTATTTTGGTCAAATGAGCACTGCAGGACCCCATCTGCCTCCTTTTCTTCAATAGTAGCATCTCCAGTGACAGCAACTCAATTTGCTCCTTTTAGTGCCTGTGCCTGCCATGAAAAATGCCAAAAGCTGTAGCTCCTTCAGGAAGCTGCTGCCTGGCCCTTCTGCCTCCCTGCATCCCCCTC